CGGCCCGGCGGGGAAGGCGGGAGCCGGCATGACACGGCCTGTGGGTTCGGAATCACAGCGCTTCAGTCAGCCTGAGACCGCCTCTTATCGAGAAAGAAGTGCTCGTATACACTCATTATAGATCATGAAGAAGTATGAGCTATAATAATGAAGGATGTTAGCCCAGATGGAAAAAAAAAAAAAAAAACAAATAACAGAACTGACATAGTGCTAGTTCCCAGAAGACTGTGCTTTCCCCTGGGCAGACGGCCTTCTGGTAATAATCTGTTCAAGCTTCCACTAAGCCAAGGGCAGGCTTTTGAACAGCAGGCAGGCTGGAAGTCTCCCATGGTTTACCATCTCCTGATCCCAGGGATCAATAGCTAATTGTATTTCTATCCTCTTCAATCCATTGATCATTTTATGTTAAAGCATTAGATAATTAATGACTACCTTTGAACACCAGAGTTAGACTCATTGACTTCATTTTGAATAAATCAATAACTGAGACAAAATTCCTGGTGGTTTGGACAGCCTTTAAAAGGGGTAATTTAGAAAATGAGTTTTCAATTACTCCATTCTAGCAGTTGGCAAGAACTCAAAAAATAAGCTGAGTCTCAACTGAGGCCATAAACACTTTTATAGAAACACTAAAGTCAGATTTTCAAGGGAATTCAGCACCCCAAATCCCCAGCATTTTTTAAAATCTGCTTATTCTCCTGGCATTAAAATACATCAGAGGCAAAAACTGTGAGCCCTCTATCATGAGCAGGAGGAGGGCTGTTCACAACATATGCACAAGGGAAAACAAATTATTTCCTGAAGAAAAAGACATTTTAAGGAATGATTTTGCATTTCCTCTTCTATCTATTAGAAAAAAACAGTGGATGGCAGGTGGAAGAAAACTGCAAGGACAGAAAATAACTCAAGGGAAATGGTAATACCCAACATATATACTATTTTCTTTTCTTTTTTTTTTCCACCTAAAAGGTCATTGTAAAGATTATAATAATATAAATGAAAGATTAAAGTCTTGATTGCTTTAATACCTAACTGCTAAATCCTGTTCATAGGGAAAATATGTCTCACTGCTTTTTCTAAACCTTTTTATGCCTGATTTTCAAATTATACTGTAAAAATTCACCACAGCCAAATGCAAGGGCCCCCACTGAGGGACAGGAATGAGTTAGGCCACTGGTTGTTCATAAAATAATCCCCTAGTAATTTACTATCAATGAACAATTTACATTCAATTTACATTCACAAATAATCAGGAGCCAGATTTTGACTACCTAGATAAAAGTCAGAGCCCTTAACAGGGAAGTAGGCATGATCTTTGGATGCCAGCTTCTCAAAAACTTAAAGAGGCAAGACCACAGAGTCTTTTCCTTGCATGGATTAATCCTTGCATGGTGTAACCAGTTGCATCAGTAGAAGTTGTTCTGGTGGATGTGATAGAATCACTCTTGGTGATTGTACCAGCAAGCAGTATAGAGAAATACCCCCCACTGCAATGGCTGTAATTCTGTGTCCCCTAGAGATACCCTGCCAGAGCCAAAGTGCCACCCAAATATAACCTTGTTTCACTGAATGCCATTGGCAGTGCTGCAATAATTATCCAGACTGGAGGCAATTCCATTCATTCCATCTTGCATTTCATTCACGCAGCCTAGCCTAAAGCAGATCTTTGTGAATGTTGTGTTTGGTTCTATCCCAGCACACTGTCCACCCAGCATTCAGGATTAAGCGGGCTAACTGAAATAACAAGTGAAAACCCCAATTAATTCGTAATGCTTCCTCATGATTTCTGTGTGTCACATGGTGGTTCTCTGCTGCAAGTAACTGTTTTTTTGCAGGGAAATAGACACCTGAAGTGGCACAGGCCATTCCACCTGACTGTTGGCACAATGGTCATTACCATGACTTGACAGCATTTAGTTGTGCAAATAACAGGATACTGCTATCAAACCTCCAGCATAGTCACTGGGTACTGTGTGAGAACATAGGAGCTTTCATATTTAGCATGTGGCAAAAAAAAAAAACCAAAAAACACCCTGCTCTCACAAACCTGCTGTATGCAAGGTTCCCTGATTCTAACAGTGCATCCCTTCACCAATGTTTGCCAGCCACCATTCACTGGTGTAGCTGAAAGAAAGCAGCAGGATTTGCCCCCAGTCATCACCTGAATCTCTTAGTGATTGTTAGATTTCATCCTGCTTGATTAACAGATTAGTTCTGTGCATTGGAATTACTCTACACTTTATCTCAGAGAATTTACTTATTATTCTCAGAGCATCAGAAGTAATCAATTCTATTATTATTTTGCCCTCATAATCCTTTTTCACCTCATTCCAGAAATGCATTTTCATCTGAAATTTGCACCCAAAGTTCTACTGGGACCATCCACAGAGTACCAAGCTTGTAAAGACAGCACAATATCAGCTTTGATATTTTTCTTCATTGTAGACAAAACTAAAATGACTGTTTAGTATTTTTCATCACTTGCATACCAATAGAGTGTCTGTCCTTGTGTGTTAGCCCTTTGGTGTTTTTATCTGCCCTCTTTATTCACATTTCTTCCCAGGCTTTTGGATTATCTGATCATAATAACTGTGCAGGCTGGGATTCCTCTATTCCAGGCCTCCCTGAGAGGCACGGCTACTGGGAGATGTCTGCTTTCAGGACACAGCCTGTTGCATACTCCTTCAGGCAACTCCTTAGCTGCTAACTACATCTTGTCTCCTCCAACAACTTCTGTTTGTGAAGGAACTTCCATCATGTGTTTACCTCCACGGTTTGAAGCTTAAAGAACATTAGCACCCTAACATTGCTGGTGGGATAAATACTGCAATTGCCTTTCAGCCAGAAACAGTCCCAAAAAAAAAGCTTAGGGAAGCCGGCAGAGAGGGAGACTACAAACCTCCTCAGGACCAGGTCACAGTCTCATAGCGCTTTCCTTCCACCAGTGTACATGAAAAAGACATTTTGGAGAGGAAGTGTCACCACTACTAGACCCTTCCCTGATTTGGATCCCTTTCTTCCAATAGACAACCCTGTGCTGTATTTTTAAACCATCTTTAAGAAAGCACTCAGGAAAAGTTGGGACACAAGTTATTTAGGTAAAAGTGGCAGTACTGAGCTGTTGCAGGACACCAGAGGAATGGCTGGCTGGCTCCCAACATCCAAGGGAGGAAGTGGTGGGAGCACAGTGGCAGTGAGTGGGTGGGGCAGTGCCCCCTGCCCCGTGTGTGTGTGAGTGTGTGTGTGTGTGTGCAGGGCCAGCCCTGGAGCCCACGCTGCCAGGAACATGGAATTGGCATAGGCTTGCCTGACAGAGGAGCACAGGTATAATGAAATAATAAAACTCAGCATAATTTTACAGTTAAACTTTACAATTCTTTTTTTTTTCAAAGTAAACTATTCTATAAGAAACATTCTGCAATAAAGTTATGATTATGAGGGTTTATCACACCAACCCTGCTCAATACTCATAGGCCCTTTGTGAGTTGTGCTCCCTTTTATCTGCATTTTGTCTTTCCTCTTCTTTGGGTGGGTGGTTGAGATGAAGTGACTCACCACTGGACACCTTGAAATATCTTCAACAGACAGAAAGGAAGCTAATTTAATTTAAAATGACAGGAACAGCAGGCTTACCTGTCTAATCTGATTTATTAGTGTTCCCCTGCCAACTAGTTTGGATAAAGTTCCAACCACATGAGCACCTTCATTTGCTTGGTCTCCTACAGACATTTAAGAAGATTTCCCTTTCTATGGGTTTTGTCATATGTGACAAACACAGTGAATTCCCTTTCTTCCTTTTTTTTCCAGTTGGTCCTTAAGAGACAGAGCACACAGTTAATTTGGGAGATTTAAAGAACAAAGATAACGACTGGTTTAAGTCCACTTTCTCTGAAAGACTTTTTTTCTTCCCTGGAACTATGCCTGATACAAAGGTTTCTTACAAAGGAAATTCACAACAGAAGCACAGGGAGATACTAAAAGTGTGGGCAGGATGTGCCTTCAAACATCCCTAATTCAAAAACTGAATGCTGCACAAGGGGAATGGACTGCAGAAAATGGACAGGTTATTACCATGCAAACCTGTAATACACTATTGCCATTGTCACTAAGAAAGCCAAAGCTCTGTACTGAGCCCTTCAAGCCTCAGAGGAAGGGCTTGCCCTAGACAAGCTTTCTTTGACCTGTACAACCTGCACAAGGTAGACAAGCAGAAGCCAGCCAAATCTGGCTTTAGGGGTAATGGAGACAT